TGGCATGATACTAGCAATTCGAACCATCTGAAGCAATTAGCTGATTTCTTTAATTTAAAACAATTAGTAAGTGAATGTACGCGTATTTCCCGGCACAGTAGAACTTTGATTGACCATGTTTATTCTAATTTTGATTCTGTCAGTTCAGTTACTCAAGCTGATTTGAAAATAACCGATCATGAAACTTTAGTAATTATTGTCTTAGACAGTGTTAACGATAACGATAATTTTGTAAAATTGAAGTGCTGGAGGAAATATTCGAAGCAAGCTGTTTCGAATCTTGTTGAGAGAAGCGTGGATTTTCCATTAGTTACCGGAACTTTAGATGAAGATGCAGCTGTTCTTACTAACGTTTTGAAAACTTGTACCAATAAATTAGTTGAACAAAAGTTTGTTTCTTTGAAAAACTCGAACAGCTGGTACAATTTGGATCTTTTGCGTCTTAAACGTAAGAGGGACAAATGGTACAAAAAGTTTTGTAGATCTAATAGTGATAATCATTGGAATAGGTACACGGTCGTGCGTAATAAATATTCACAATCGATTAAGAAAACTCGATGTGAATATATTCAGAGGAAAATTGATCAACATCAAAACAACAGCAAAGAGTTATGGAAAATTTTGAAATCTTTGATGAAGCCTAGTAATTGTAAATCGCGGACCATAACTTTTGATGGCATATTAGAACAGTCAGAACAAGTAATTGCTTCTAAGTTTAATGACTATTTCGTCGAGAGCGTTTCACTGATCAATCAATCTATTGAACTGATCAATGAACCGGACGAAATAAAACAGCCGATTAATAGTAATTGTAGATTTAATGGTTTTCACCCAATTACATTAGATGAACTTAAAAATATTTGCTTTTCATTAGGAAAAACGGCTGGAGTAGATAATGTTAATGCTAGAGTTATTCAAGATTGCTTTCATGTCATTCGACACACTCTGCGGGACCTTATTAATCAATCATTGCAATCTGGGCACGTGCCGCATATTTGGAAAGAATCTTTAGTTGTTCCTATACAAAAAGTTGCTGGGACGATTAAAGCCGAAGAGTTTCATCCCATCAACATGTTGCACACATTAGAGAAAATTTTGGAACTTGTTGTAAAAGGCCAGCTGTTAGAATATTTAAATAGTAACTGTTTGTTGATACCGGAACAATCGGGATACCGGGAAGGCCATTCTTGTGAAACCGCGTTAAACTTAGTGTTAGCTAAATGGAAAGAAAATTTGGAGCATAAAGATACGATTGTTGCTGTGTTTTTGGATCTAAAACGTGCTTTTGAGACAATTTCTAGGCCCTTATTGTTGAGAACAATCAAGCGCTTTGGAATTTCGGGTTCTGCATACAAATGGTTTGAAAGCTATTTATCTGACAGAACACAAAGGACTGTTTTTAATGATTTTGTATCTTGTCCCGTTGACAATGACCTTGGAGTGCCTCAGGGAAGTGTATTAGGGCCCCTTTTATTTATTATGTATATTAATGACATGCGACGAGTTTTACGGTTTTGTGATATTAATCTTTTTGCTGACGATACTGTGTTATTCATTGCAGCTAAAGATTTAGAAGAAGCCGTTTCACGCTTGAATGAAGATTTGCGTTCTCTAAGTAGATGGTTGAAGTATAAACAATTGAAATTGAATATAAGTAAAACTAAATTCATGGTAATTTCGCGGAATCGTGTAGATGATGATGTCTCTGTTGTTATTGATGATGAGACACTTGATCGCGTTCAGGAAATTAAATATCTTGGCGTGATTATTGATGACAAACTCAAGTTCAATTCTCATATTGACAATGTCATCAAGAAAATTGCCAAGAAGTATGGAATCCTATGTCGCTTGAAAAACGATTTAACTATTGGTAGTAAAATACAGTTATACAAATCAATCATCTCCCCTCATCTAGACTTTTGCCCTTCCATTTTATTTTTGGCCAATGAAACACAAATATCGAGATTACAGCGTTTGCAGAATAAAGTAATGCGTTTGATTTTAAGATGTAATAGATTCACTTCCTCAACTTTTATGCTGGACGCTTTGCAATGGCTGTCAGTGAAGCAAAGAATTGTGTTTTTGACTATGGTGTTCATTTTTAAAGTAGTTAACGGTTTGCTGCCTCGATATTTGTGTGATCGGATTGAAAGAGGAAGTGATTTTCATAGATATAACACTAGAAACGCGGATGAAGTAAGAACACCACATCTTTTGAATAATGCTTCACAAAATTCATTATTTTTCAAAGGTATAAATGTTTTCAATTCGATGCCTAGACACATCAAGCGTGCAACTACACTTACAGAATTCAAGAGACGCTGCATTTCACATGTAAAAGCTGTTTATTGAGCAGTTAAATTTTTATGAATGGATAAATCATGTATCTTGACAAAGTTATCTCTAACGGATTATTTTGTATGGAGACTGTCATAAAGACATTTTTGTAATTGGTGTAGCATATACAAAAAACTACATTGTTTGCCTCGATGGTGATGATGGATTTTTAGTTTTTTGATTTTGTAGTAGTAATAGTAAAAATAGCTTTGAGTAGTCTACGATGGTTTGAACCTCGCGCGCGGAATACAGGTATAAATGACTAATACGTGGAAATTGTGGCAAAAGCCTTGAATTAGTAAAGGGTTGGCTGGAAGTCGTTTCCTTGGATATAGTCCTGGCACTGCGGAAGCTTAAACGTGTAAATCCCAGGTCACGTGTAAATGGAAGTATTGTCGAGGACTATACTTGGACTTTTGATAACTAGTTACACCTTTGAATGTTTTTGGTTGATGCCTATAGCATATTTAACAGGACATTTATATCTGTAATTGTAACCAGCTCGATTTTGTTTGCAAACCTGGTTAAAATGTTTATATTTAATTATCTTAAAGATAACTCGTCCAGCTCAAACCTTTGTAGGGGTAAGAGGTGGGACCATCATCATCATCATCACATGGTGCGCACCTTCACAACGATGACAAGTTGTATTTGATCTTATTTAGCACCCTTTTTATCACCAAATTGTTCTGATTTTTCGTTAATTCCTGATTTCATGGAGGGTTTTTTTTTCTTTAAATATGCAACTCCAAATTTATAATCCACAGTAAAATCGCATTTTTCTAGGGTCCTCATAAAAGTGATGCAAAATTTAAAATTTTCGCTCCACAATACTTAAACGATTCCAAATCGGATCCTGACTAACCTCTCAAAATGTGAACCCATTTGGTATGAAACTGAGATGGCACAAACCATTTGAAGTTTGTATAGGAATTACTATGGTAAAACCAAGATTTTTGTTCATGTCTATCTAATAATTCACCATATCTGTCTGCTTCAAAAGCTTTCAACTGTACTTGTAGGAAATCTTCTCAGCTACAACTTTGCTCGAGACCACTTTTTGATTAAAAGCAAGAATCGACAGTTATCAATGGTTCAATGCACTGATGTCTTATGATCATGGTCAATCGACTTCTCAGCAGGCAAAATTGGTGTTTTTGGGGCGTTGAATAGGACACAAAAATCATGGCTACTATGTCACACTGCAAAATACAGTGTTGCCTACAGAGCAGCTGCTTGATCATGTTATAAGTTTACCAACCTCTTAAATAATTAATAACTTTTTACAGTCTCGTTTTACATAGAAACGATCTTCAGCAAAATTTTCTATAAGAATGGCTATTGAACTGTTTCGCAGCTCAATATGGAAAAAGACTAGAAAGCAATGATCAAAAAGTTGAGATTTCCGATATTAATTTACATGTAAACTTCAAATGGCTTGTGCGAAGTCTGTTTCTAACCAAATGAGTTGTAACTTTGGGAAGCTAATCAGGACCCGATTTGAAACCATTTAAGCACTGTGGAGCGAAAAAGACAAATTTTGCATCAGTCTAGTCCTCATGCATCACCAGTGAACATAAGTTCAACGTGATGCTGTTTAACCGTATACCTCTTTAGGATCTTCCAAGTGGAAATCCTTCATTTTGGCTTTCCAAAACCGACAATTCAGTAATCAATATGATAGGTTACTTACGCTACCTATTGGAGAGTTTTCCGTCACGCTTTAATCGGGAGGAAGCCGATATAATTCAACCCCCTTTTTTCTCACGGCGCTGTCTTTGGGGAACCAGAAGACACTAACATTTTGCAACGTTTTATTCGGTGTATTTTTGCAGAAGGCGTGCATTTCAATTGCATTTTCAAATATAATCGCTATACCGATACAGTCACTCAAATCAAAAGTCACTCGAAGTAAACACAAAATTACGGGTTGTCAGACCTTGCAAACAACATAAGTTAGTTGGCCGTGCAACCAGATTTACTTTTATTCTCTCCGCACGTCTCTTATTAAACATCATCTCTCGCTACGGTAAGTTACCCTCATTCGTCAAGATAAGAGGGAGCTGACCATAACAAACAATTATGCAAAGCTCGATGCAAATCAAAGAAGGTCAAATCTGAAATTCAACTTTTTTTTTGCTATTCGGCCTAGAAATGCACTTGATTGATTTGACCGATAAATGTCTTTTAATTGAAACTTCTTTCGGTAAGTGAACTTTCAGTTAAAAGCAACTTAGTTGAATGGTCTTTCACTTAGTGATTGCCCTGTGTATTTGGAGGGAGCGCCCGTCACACAAGTTTAGATTCGCAGGCACGGTCACTGCTGAAGAAGCAAGTTTATTTATGAGCATAACCCAATAACATACCCCATCATGTGTGTGTTTGATGATGTAGCTTGTGATGACAGCTGACAAATTCAATGATTACCATTTTCATAGCGCCAGCCCAGCTACGCTGTCGACAAAGTGTGTCATTATGAATCATGTCTCAAATGTTTTGGATTCACATGGTACGTTTCTATTAACATTTATGAATAAACGTTGTTTACAATCGTCGACCCGACGAAGCTCGAATCAAACTGATGTTTAATTTATATTCAGCTTGCATAAAATGTTGATTGAAAAATTTAATCATAATTTCCCGTCTCTTCTCCCTCGTTTCAGACGAAAGCACATCTGGACGTGCTAGCCGACGCCCTTCTCAGATGGGCGCGAGGACGTTAAGAAGCTGTATAAATAAAACGATAAGAAACCAAAATCAGAGGAAATCAACACACGGACAAACACATACAGACACACAAAAACCAGAACAACAACAAACAAAAGACGTCATACTATAGAAAGAGAAAGTAATCTATTTTTAAGGATCACTGAACCGGAACCGAGGAGCTGTTCCAGAATGGGATGGTTATGGTAAACAATGGACGGAAGGCTGTAAATAGGACAGAGACAAACTTACAACTACTTCTACAGATTAAACAAAAGAAAACAAACAAAAAACCAAAGGTACATATATATTTGTTAAGGACAACACTCTTCAGGCAGGCAGCTGATGCAGACTGTTATGTGTGTATGTATAGAGAGGGAGTAGCAGACTCGGAAAGTGTATAACAGGAAAACCCCGACCCGCGCAGCGAAAACGAAAAAAACCGGCCCCCAGTTGACAGATAAACGAAATAGGCGGGCCGATCGCACGCAAATAGAGGCACGTGTAAAAAACAAACAAACAAAACAAACTATACCAAAAACTAACAAATAGAAACCAAAATAAAAAGCGGTGAAGGTGTAAAACACTGAGAAACACTGAACAACTGTAAGTACATCAAGTAGATATGAATGTGTGTGTATCAAAGAGCAGAGCAAGAAATTCAAAGCAACAGTACGTGTAGATCCGTGATTATTTTTTTCTTTTTCGTTTCAAATAACCAATTATCATCAGTCACAAGGATACCTACTCTGGAAGTAAATATGGAGAAGAAAAAAAAAGAATGCTCGCCAGGCGACGAAACACGAAACGATCAAAAACGATATTTTCCATCCTGAAGAAAGCCAACCTACAATACCCCCTACCAGGATGATCAGAACGAAAATCAGACTTCATTTTGCAAGATTCTCCCTTCGGGATTTCATTTTTGATTCCGTTTTCTCGGAAAAGCGCAATCTCCAGTTAATCGGTGCAACTTAACAGAAGGCAACTCATGTAAAAAAAAACAAAACTCTACCAATCTATTAACATCCAAGATCGTAATAAAGTTAATGGAATTAAGTCAAAGACAAAAAAAAATCTTGCAGAAAACTATTCTCATGGACAAGGCAGCTATATTGTATAGATAAGTCACAATTTTAACAAAGTAAATGAATACAACCTTAGTGAACTTTAACAAAAAACCAAAGGTCATTCACAACTAAGAGATAAGAACACTCACGCCAACACAAATACAAACATCATAAAACACAAACACTCACACGCGCAAAACAGTGACACTTACAAAACAATAACAACAACACATTGTTATATCTCTATCTTCAAATAAAAACAAACAAAACAATTCGTACTCAGATACGACAAAAGCAGCGAAAAAGGTATTTAAGGAAAAGATATCGTGCAACATTCCAATTATACACACACACACACTTAAAGTCCACAACAGAAGCATACTTAGGCATAAGTACGAACGAAAGCCAGGGGTCTACCAGCCGATAACCACACAAAAACAAACACACACACACACACAAACACACTTGCCAAAATTAAAAAAAAAAACGATGTGGGGCCCCTCGGCAGCGAGCTACCGTCAACAAGCTGTAAACAATACAAAGAACAAATGAAAAAAAAAATGAATAAGAAGTCCGCGAAGATCTTATTTTAGTCAAAATTTTAGTTACTAATTCAAGAGACAAATTCTGTTCCAACGTGACAGGTCGTTTTTGTAAATAGGTAAATAAACAAGGAAAATATGAAATGACTATACACGCACTCTCAGCACGCACGCACTCGTGTAAAAAGATTTTTAAGAACTGCACATTGACACTCACACCAACAAAAAAAAAAGCACAACAAAAAAAAACAAAATCAACTCACCTTCAAACTTGACAGCAAAACGATAAGAAACGAGAAATCTCTATGTTTTTTTTCCCAGAACTCTTGATCAAGTGTTTTTGCCCTTCCGTTCCTTTTTCAAAACAAATTCGTGTCTTTCAAATCAGAGCCTATACTGAGCGGGACGACGACGGCGGCGGTCCCGGGCGTGTTGCAGGAATAGTGACAAAATAATATGTTAAAGTTGCGCTGGCGAAACAAATCGTGATACACTGTGTTAGGGAGGTAAATCTGTGAGCGGAGAAAGAGCTGTTATTGGACTCGTTGCGACGAGCCTTTGTTAAGATCCGATGGTAATTAAGCAAAACAAAACAAACTGGAATATACTGTGACTGAATAAACGAAGAAGTTAATTGCAGTGGTTAATGTTACTAGGAATGCAAAACTAAAAAAAAAAAACAAAACAAACAAACACACGAATGTTAGTTAAAGCGTCAAAAATACTACTCAAACTAAACAAACAGAAATCTGTGAGGTAAAGGCAAGTGAACAGAGTGGTTGGGGGGAGATTATTTTAAATTGTTTTAGTTTGATGTTTCCATGCAGCAGAAACGAATTAGTGGGCGAACGCAAAACAAAATGGTGTCCAGTTGCAGCTATAACCGAAACAATGTGTAAACAATCAAATTGTAAAAATATTTTCTAAGGCCGTACACACTTGACAAACGGATTGGTTGTGGATAGGAGAGTTCAGTCTTGGTTAGTTTCTCCTTTCGAGAGTTGCAACTCACACTCACACAGATTCGAATCTCAAAGCATACAAAGAAACACACACACACAATTAAGGCAACAAGTCAAAACCAAAGAAATTCAATTTAAAAAAAAAAACAAGCAAACAAGTAACACGTGAAAAATATAAATGTCTATTTGCACAATATAACTTTAACTGAAGGAAGGAATACAAATTTTAACACACGAAACCAAACAAATGTAAAGATCAAACACCTCAGAAAACAATCTCTCTTTAATGCGAACAGTGTCAGTGTTAATTTGTATTTAGGGGCAAGCCGATGATCTCAACGTTCTCAAACTTTTTCGTCTAAGTATTTACGTCAGAACAAAAATCACTCAGAACAAAAACAAACAAAATAAAAACCGAAAAAAAACACGAAGAAAGCAAATAACAAACCACATGTTGCAACAACAACTACAAACACAAGCAAACAGTGCAAGATTTATTTGAATACCCACCTTTAGGTTAATTTTTATGCGCTTTTTAAAGTTAACAGGCGAATAGCAAACCAAAACCCGAACCGCGACAAACAAACAAAAAAAAACTCGAGCAAACGACAACAAATGCACGCCGTTGTTGTCACCGCGCAATCCAAACGCGACAAATGTGGCCGAAGCCGAACAGGAACGGAAATGTAAACAAAACACACAACTTTCCTCTTTCTTTTTTCTTTTTTGCTGTCACATTTCCTTCGATTGTTTTGTTTACCTAGTTTGTGGTCTTTTTCACCCCGCTCACCGCGCATCGCAGCAAAGCAGGCGAGCGAAAGTGCGAGGGCCGCAAGGTGGCGCTGCGATCGGAGCATTTCATGCGATATCAAAATCATGTCAAATCTATTTTTAATTCCACCTAACCTCACTTTCAGTAATGGACGCGGTGAGTTATCGCTATTGCAAACTATCATCCCAGTCGAACTGTTGCATGCTCATTTGCCAGCCTAAACAACTTTTACCCCTCGGAAGCCGGGAAACCTTTTGTAATTGCAGCCCGAAGAACGCCTGCCTTATTTCCACTCTGCATGCAAAGGAAAATGAAAAGTTTATTTTTGGAATCGGTGGGGCTTTGGGAAAGTTTCCCGTACGCGAAACAATGCAAGAACGGAGGCAGGTTGTAATTCGATAAGATCTCGCGGTGATTTCGGTCGACCCACCAAAGGCAACTTTCAAGTCTTGATTACACACACACAAACACAGGAAAGGGAAAAAGCTTCTAAGCAAGCCTCGACGATGATGCTGATGATGATGGCGATGACGGTCGAACCGGAGAGACCTCGGACCGCGGACTTTCTTCAACAGGCTTCTCGTGTTTTTCCTTCCATTTGAAGAAGGCAGCGGCCTCAGCCACGGCAACAATAACAAAACAACCCCGGCTCAAAATTGAGGCCATTCGTGACGTCAAAGGTTGAAGAGGTTGGGGCTTCGCTAGCCATGGCCTGCTTCTTCTGCTGAACGAGTTGGGAACAGAAGAAGGATGAAGAGGAGGAGGAGGAAAACTGCTCGTCAAGATTGCTTTTTCTCGCTCTTCATCGTTCTGCTGCTGCCTGGGTTGATGTTGGATGATGACATCAAGGCATGCGGGAAACAGGCTGTTTTTGATGTTTCGGACGGGTTTTGAGAGTGGTCTTGGAGTTTGTCCTTGCGGGGAGAAACGAATACGGTTCAATTTGGACTTAAGGTTGATGAGCTTTGCCTTAAAATGGGACTGGCCAGCAGAATTCGGTACAAAATTCATCCTGGGTCACCCACATTAGATCCGGATATGTAGCGTTGCGGCAAAGTGACAGCTAAATCTATTGTCTAAACCCAAAATACTGGTTGACAGTTTTTACTTTTGACTGCAAAACACGCAAAAGTAGATCTGTACGGGCCATAGAACAGTCAATCCTCTGGCACGGCCATTGGTTCTTGAAGCTGCCGTCAGTGATAGCTGTGGCGTTGATGCTTGAATGATTTTAAGCTTCGGTCATACGTTACCATCATCATGACTTAGCGATGAGTTTCACCCATCCGAGTATGACCAACCGATAGGACGGTCATTGATTCATGAAGCCACCGTGAACTCACTTTCATGCACTTTAGGGGAAACATGTCAGAAGGGTCTAACTCGAAACGTGAACAATGACTTGGATCGTCGATTTCTTACGAATGACAACACACCCACTCAAACTAACTAAATCATCTGACAGAGAAATGTTTGTTATATGAGCTGGTGTAGTCAGATTCCGTGGGTGTGTGGTCATTCAAGAGAAATCGGCGTTCAAAGTCATTGTTTACGTTTCGAGTTCGACCCTTCTGATATGTTTCCGCTGACTTCATTCTTATAATTTCATAGAGCGATAGAAACCCAACTGAAAAACATCGGTTACTCGATAAATTTTCATCAATACCACAACGTTACCATGGCCGTTCAAACAAACGCATAAACGGAGCTGAAACTCGTAATGTTTACAACAGCTGTCATTAACTGACGTACAATCGAACCAAAAAGCCAAAAAAAAACGGCTTCAAGCGAATGTCTTTTGTGCCACCGGAGTGATAACAGTAGGTCCGGAGTGATTTGAGATTTGGGCGTAGCTGATTTTGTAAACAAACGCTTCAAATGACGATTTCTCGCGAATAAAAGCTCAGCCAACGAAATTCACAACACAAACAGGTAGAGGAATAATTCATCTAGCATGTAGTATGATTTAATCTAGAGATTGAGCTTTTATTCGAGAGAAATCGGCGATTGACATTTTTGTTTACAAAAGCAATACGCCCAAATATTGAAGTTCTCCGAAATTGATTGTTGCTGCTATGACAAAATTTGCGCTAAGCAAAACATCAACCTTGAAAGCAACATGCCATAGAAATACGCTTGTGTGCGTAGTGGCTAGATTTATTTTAAACGCACACATTCAAACTTCGCGTATGTATAAGTGAAGCAGTTGCATCAATTCATACACAACCAACTGTCAAAATAATTAGAAAGTTACGAACGAGTTTTCATCGCAGAAAATTAATATTTTTCAAGCAAAATAACTTGCAAATTGAAAGGACCTATTAACATTTGTGTTTGTGCACAAAAAAGGAAAAAAGTTTTAGCAAACCTTTGGAGAGTATTGAACACTTCAGAAAAATTCGGCAAATTTATGTCTGCAAGTCTGTGAACTTCAATAAAGTCTACAAATGTTAGGGAAGTCTCTCTAATGAACGGAAATCCCCCACTAAATTCAAGGAAGTCTGAAAACTTCAAAAATAACAAGTCAACTTCAGTGAAGTTAGCGTACTTCAGGAAAAATACTGGTAACTTCAGTAAATTCTGCTTATTTCAGGAAAATTCACTTCAGGAAATCTCTGAAAATATCAGAGAAGTCTGCGAACCTAAAAACAATGTTACTTTCATAGAAAACTTTGTACTCCCGCAACGTTCAACAAACATACGAAAAATGTTGCAAACTTCAGGAAAGTTCTCAGAACAACATGAAGGCCCAGTTAAGGCCCAAACGCAATGTGGGCGGAAGCGGAACGGAAACGGAAAGTTTGACAGTTGTCACTAATGACATCAAGATGCCTAACCGAAGTCGATTTGGATCTAACTAGTTTTCAATCCGACAAGTAGGCTTACTCAGATCGGGTTTTTCCGCTGCCGCCGTCATTGCGCTTGGGCCTTTAACTTCAGGGGACTTTTGTGAACTTCAGGAAAATTCTACGAACTTACGGAAATCTCAACGAATTTAATAGAATTTTATCTTTAGGGACGACTATGAACTTCAGAAAAATTCAACGAGATTCAGGAAGTCTGTCAATTTCTGAAAAATTCTTCAAAATTCAATTTCATTACTTCATCAAGGAAGACAGCAAATTTCAAAATTATGCTGCCAACAATTCATTTAAAAAATCTGTGTGTATTCTACAGCACAGTCTAAAAGTGCAAGAAAGATCTAAACACTACAATAAAACATTACAAACTTCGGGAAAATTATGTGAACTTCAAAAACGTTCAGCTTTACTTTAATAAACATGCTGCAAACTCTAAGCCTTCCGGAACATTTTGCGAAATTAAGGAAAATTTTGAGATCTACATGAAACTTCAGTGAACATCAAGAAAATTCAACGAATTTTCCGAAAAAATCTGGTAACTTCAGGAAAGTCCAGAGAACTACAGGGAGCTTCAGAAATATTGCGAAAACTTCTGAAAACGTTAATGAACTGATGGAAAGTTTAAAAAAAAATTGATTTTTTTTTAAATCGAACAAAATTCTACGATCTTCAGGCAAGTTTAGCATATTTTTGGAAAGTTCCGCAAATCAGGGGAATTCTGCAAATATCAGGAAAGACTGAGAAATTCATAAATCATCAGAAAATTGTACTAAATTATTGAAATTCTGCGAACTTCAAAAGTATTCTACCGAAATCAGCTTAGTCGTTGAGCTACAGAAAATTTCAACGAAATTCTGGAAATTTGTATTCTGGAATATTCCGAAAACTTCTGGAAATTTTAATGAACTGCTGGATTGTTTTATAATATTCAGAAAACTTTTATTAAATCGAATGAAATTCTGTGATCCTAAGGCAAGTTTAGCATATTTCTGGAAAATTTAGCAAACTTCACAAACTTGTTGCAAATTTCAGGAAAAATCTGGAAACTTCAGGAAAGTCTGTGAACTTCATAAAACATCAGAAAATTGTACTTAAGTTATAGAACGTCTGCGAGTTTCAAGGAAATTTGCGAACCTATGTGATGTCCGCGAATTTCCGGGAAATTCTGCGAACTTTATAAGCATTCTTACAATTTGAGTAAAGTCGGTGAGCTCCAGAAAATTTCAACGAACCTCTGGAAAGTTTTATTTTGGAATATTCCGAAAATTCTGAAAATTTTAATGAATTGCTTTACTATTAAAAAAAAATCAGTAAACTTTTATTAAATCGAATGAAATTCTTCGAGCTTTAGGCAAATTCAGCAAATTTTTGAAAAATAACTATTGCAAACTTCACAAATTTTTTGCGAATTTCAGGAAAAAAATCTAGAAACTTAAGGAAAGTCAGTGAACTTCAAGTAAGTCTTTGAACTTCAGGAGATTTTTTTCTTATTCAAGAAATTCTTCAAATTTCTAGAAAATTCTGCGATTTCTAAAATTATTCTGCCAGCTTCAGTAACGGCAACGAACTTCATGAAAAGTCTGCTCCACCAGGAAAATTCTGCGAACTTATGGAAATCTCTGCAAGTAACAGGGAGTCTGTGAACTTAAAAAATCTTTAAAATAATACCGAAGCAACCTGAGGTCTTGGAAAAAAAATCCTGAGGACCTCAGGGATTATCATCTGTTGGTTTTTGAAAAATTTTATGGTCATCCTAGAGTCATGGGTGCAAATCAGAGAGACTCAATTTTAAATGTTAGACAGTTGAAGATCTTCAGCATAATACCTGATAAACCTGCAGACCTGAAGAGGATTTCAGGAAAATCTTTGACCATCTGTTGGTTTTTGAAATATTTCTGATCATACTGGTCTAAATGGTGAATATCTGAGAGACGCTTTTTGAGTTCCTGGATAGTTGAAAATCTTCAGAATAAAACCTGATGAGTCTAAAAACTTGAAAAAAATATCCTGAAATAAACTTGGGGAAAATTCATCCCAGAGCTCTAGAAAGTTCTATCCACATCTTGAGGCAAGTT